GCAGCCTTCCTGCCTCCCAGCGTCTGGGGCGCCCGCATCTGCTGCATGTCTGACAGTGCAAAACTCACCCGCTGGACTGTCACCGGAGCACAAGGAGCACTTCTGAGTCACTTCATTAAGCCATTATACATCACTAGTGCCATACTTGGTGAGATTACAAATGTGTCAGTGGTTTGTGGCTGTTGTAAAAATTACCAGAACCTTTTGCCTAAAACAACAGCAAAACAAACCTAGGGAGGGCTTATATTTGTGATGTTTTTTCACTGAATGGTTTTCTTCATTTGTTTACTTTTTGTTGTCTAGGTGACTCTAGTCACCACGCAGAAAATGTATCCAACACCATCAACAAGCGCCTGGGAACTGATGTGAAAGATCTCTTGCCCCCTCCTTACCAACAAACGAACATCTTCTTTCAGAATGGAGAGAGTGTGGGACCTGCGTTGAGTTCAGATCACTGCAGAGACCTCAGTGTCAACTGGTGTCTGGGAGACTCCAGCATTGAGATTCTAGACAGCACCACTGGTTATGCTATTAGCTGGTAAGGACAGTATGAATGGTGACTTATGCCTGACCCACACTATAGGATCTTAAAAATCCTGACCTGTGTTGAAAATGTGAGAGAATATGATATTTTTCACAGACTTTTCTGTCTCCATGCTACACAATCTGCCCAAAATGAAAGACCACACACTTTCAGATTGTGCACAGAAACAAGAATCCCAACCAATGGTTCCGATTCGCAAAACGTCATGGAAGATCATGCGAACTGCTACTTCGCTGGATTTCTCGCAAAATAATTTGACTTTAGATCTAAACAAACATAGCGGATGACAGTGAAGCTACTGCTTTGCTGGTGGTGTGTGCTTTCTGCAAAGAAGAAGCCAAGTTGAAGAAAAAATGTGGATAAAGCCATGGCTGACAGGGAGGGGTCAACAGGGCTTATACATACTGCAACGTGAGCGTGAGGTGAATACATACATACATACATGTTCACCTTACATATGTGTGTGTGTGTGTGTGTGTGTGTGTGTGTGTGTATGAATGAATGTGTGTGTGTGTGTGTGTGTGTGTGTATATATATGTGTGTGTGTGTGTATATATATATATATATATATATGTGTATATATATATATATATATATATATGTATATGTGTGTGTGTGTGTGTGTGTGTGTGTGTGTGTGTGTGTGTGTGTATTCACCTCAAGCTCAATTTAGCCGCCATGCTTACAACTTCTGTGCACTGACAAGTTTTCAGTTCAGCTCAGCTCTAATTGGTTGACAGTTTTTAGGCTTGATGACAGTCGTAGACAATCGCTGTCCACCTAGACTACAGGATACTGAGTCATAAATATTGAACCTGCTTAATATTTACGATTCGCAATTGGGGCGGAATGAATTATAGACACCCCACACTACAGGATGATTGGGGGGAAATTATCATTTAAGATCATCCTGATATCTGGAGACCTTTTGTGATTGTCGGGAGGAGGAAAGTAGCTTCAGAATTGGCCTGATTATCCTGTACTGTGGGCCAGGCATTACTTCTACGTCAACAGAAGAGAAAAGTAGTCTTTACAGGCATTACACCGTGGTTCTGCTCCAAGTCTATAGCCAGACAAAGCAATTACTCACACACATTATGTACATTATGCTCAAACTTGCGCATTACAAAGTTCGCCTGACTAGCCAGTTAGCTCACTATAGCTAACCTGTTGGGGCAAGTGTGTTCCATTTGAATAACCCAAATCTTAAAATAACAATCTTACATCTGAGTTCAGCTGTTTATTTATTCCATAAGAAGCACATTTCCAGTGTTGTGGCCTGTTTGAAGAACATCACCATCAACACTGCCCCAATCACTAATATTAAGCTTAATATATATTTGTTCTATCACAAAACAACCACTGCAGTCACATTGGCTTTTCTTCTTTTTTTCCCCATGCATGTCTTTTATCTTTTTCCTGTTTTGCCAGTTCTCCATTTGTGAGTGGGCCTGGCTTCTCCAGTAGGCTGTGCAAACGAGCCCAGTACTTCAGCTTCAGAAAAGTAGCCATGCTCTCTGGTCAACCAGACCTTCTGTCATTTGCGACCTACCGCAAAGCCAAGGTATTTGTCAATTCTTGGGTGAGTTTCATAGATACTGGTTAGGCCAAAATTTATTTCTATTATTTAGGGGTGATTTTGCATTGCATGTCCCACAACATCTATGCACAAGCTTAATCTCTATCCAGAAACTGATGCATGTAGTCCAGTTGTCCTCAGCTCTAGTCCTAGGATCCCAATGCCCTGCACAGCTTCAGGTATACCCTGCCCCAAGACACCTGATCCAACTCATCAGGGCTGGGTTACCCAAAAGCATTTAGCACAAACGTTATTTATAAATGATAGAGTGGGCATTACACTGAACACTCTCTCTACCATTTATGAATAATGTTTGTGCTTAGGTGCTTTTGGGGAAACTGGGCCCAGCTCATTATCAAGCCCTTCATGAGCTAGCTGGATTGGCTGTGCTGGGTTTGGTGAATACTGTAGGATCCCCTGGACTGGAGTTGAGAACCTTGAAATAGGGAATGCTATAACAGTAATTCTTTAGTAATGTCTGTGTGGGTAGACATTTTATATTTTCACATTTATATTCTCTTTAAGATGGCTGCCCACCTGTATCAGAATGCCAAGACCGTGGTGAACCAGCAGTTCTTGGCCAACAACGCCGGACCATGGAACTCAAAAAACCTCGTAGACAGTTTCAGCCGTTGACTGCTCTGTCTGTAATTTCAGCTATCCGTTTTTATGCTGGAAGGTTAAATTAGAAAGTTCACTGGATGTAGGACATATCCATGTTTTGACTTTTAAGTTCTGAAAATGTTACTGTTAACCTTCTAAAAGCAGTTGATCCTTAGCTTTAGCTTTGCTTTTTGAAGAAAAAGAAAATCATTATAACTGTTTCAGTTAGAAACGATTAGACCGTGTTCAGGCAATCTCTGTCTTGGTTGCTTTTTTACTGTTACGAAGTTGAAATATTTTAAAACATATATTTAGTTTAGACATTGTACCGTTTCTATTCTTTGAAAGACACAGGTGCATAAAATAATATACAACATTTAAGTAAATTTTGGTTCATGTGTTTTCTTTCAGATATATGCTAATCTAAACACATTTGAGTTCTGAAAAACATTTTTATGAAAGAGATTCATGTAAAAAAAAAAAAAAAACATTTTGGTCTGATTGGCAGAGTCATGGTTGAAACTGTTATACTCCACATGCACATATGGCTGCACACAAGGGGAACTCCAGATGCAGACATCGGAAAAAGTTATCACATGAAATCATTATGAAAATGTTACCTGATGCCTGAGACATTGCTTCACACTAGTTTTGATACGTTTTTACCTATTTATTCCATTCGTGGTGGAGAGGTGCAGGGTGTCAAAAAGGAAGTTGTGTAGTAAATAAAATGGCTGTATTGGCACTGTTGACATGGTGACCTCTGGTTCCTGTCACCACCACACTCATCTTCTAAGCCACTTACCCTTCTGGGTCGCTGGGGGGAGCCTATCCCAGCAGTCATTGGGTGGAAGGCAGGATACACCCTGGACAGGTCGCCAGTCCATTGCAGGGGAGACAGACAGACAGATACATTCACGCACACACTCACACCTAAGGGCAATTTAGCATGTCCAATTGGCTTGACTGTGGGAGGAAACCGGAGTACCCGGAGGAAACCCATGCAGACAAAGCAGACAAGGACCCTGGTTGCCTGGCCAGAGAATCAATTTATTATTGATACAAATATTTATTTATTTATGACTGCGATGGACTAGCGACCTGTCCAAGGTGTTTCCTGCCTTACGCTCAATGACCGCTGGGATAGGCTCCAGCTCCCCAAGACCCAGATGGATAAGCAGCTCAGAAAATGTGTGTGTTTATTTAACAAAATATTCTTGTTTATCATTGTTATGTTTTGTCATGTTGTATTTTTCATGTAGTGACTGATTTGTGTCCTGACTGTGAGAAAATCACTTGCAGAATCTCAATCTCAAGACTCCAGACATGTGACCTCCAGTCTCACATATGCTGTGATGTTAACTGAAGTGTGGGTATTCCACAAAGCTTGATTTCTCAGTTAGCCAGAAAACTAAAGGCCAAAGATGAGAAATGTCCAATAGCAATGTCCCTCAGCTCTTTTCATAATTGACCAGCTTGCTTTTGGCTTCAAGTTGCCTGGCTAAACTGAGAAGTTCTGCTTTGTGAAAAGTTGAGACTTTTTACGTTTTACCAGTTTACTATAGTGTCTGCTTTCTGTTTTTATTAGCATTTCACAGTGTCCTGCGTTTATCTATTAGATATTAGCAATGCTATTTGAAGAGACAACTCTAGCTAAACTAACCTAGCTGACCAACGGGATAGTTAGCCTGTCCCTGCTAGAAGAAACAGCATCAGCAAAACCAGCATATGTTGTGCTTTGGTTGCTGGTACGCTGGTCAACAATCATCACCATGCTGGGTGACCATTTAAACCAGTACCCGACCAGCACTTCTCTTAAACCAGTACCAGACAAGCTACTTTTATTATAATGTACAATGTACTTCGTTTTCACTTCGTCAATGCAGCCAATGTATTGGTGTTTATGTTGTGGAAGGACGCATTTTTTATACAGGATGGCTTGAAAGCGGCAGCAGAATATCTAATACTATGACCCCCACCCTCGAACGTCTCTGTGTGGAATCAAATCTTGGGAGTCGATTCCCGAATACCTTGAATCGGACAGTCGAGTCCCCGCACTAAATTTTCCTCACGTTCTTCTGGGTTGGCGGGTTGATAACCCCACAAAAATACATGGAGGTTGATGTTTGACAGGTTACAGCACACCATTAACGCCGTGTTTAAGACAATCATCCCGGCCATTCGGTGGTTTGGTTAAGTTATTTAGTTCCCTACTACGGTATTAGATATCTCACAGTTACACAGCCTTGCTAACAAACCAGCTAACGTTGAAAGATGCGAGAGGCCGTAACGAGGAATGTGACTCATCATCAGGCTAGTCGGCTCCTCCACAATAAATTTGTTGTTGTACTTGGAGGTTCAAGTGAGTATAAACGATGTACAACAGTGTATAATGAAGGTACTGTTAACTGGTAAATGTGCAACAGTTTATTTGTCCTCCAGTTCAGCGGTCTATGTACAAAGACTTGGTCTTGCTGTTGCAGAGAGACTCCTACCTGACGTTATCCCAGCTAAAAAGCAAGGTATTTAACTATTATTTATATTTTGCAGTCAAATAAAAAAGGATTAATTCTGATCTTCAGATGCATTTAACTTTAGTTACTGAAGCAGTGTTTTAAACAGACCACATAGTCACACTAGAGAATTACCTGTTAATCACCGGATGAGCAGACTCTTGTTTTACAAAGATGTACAAAAATATGATCAAACAAGGGCAGCACACAGGGGTTATTACTACCCTTGGGCACATTTCACAAAGTAGAATTTCCCAATATGTCAGGGGGTCAGCATAGGCGTATGGTATGGTATGGAGAATGACTATATGCTTGCTTAGGCTTCTGCTATAAGTCAGAAGCCTGGATATTTACTCCCATTACTTGTGTTTGCAACATATTTTGGACATTTTTATACTTAATATTTTGCTTGGATTTTATTATTTTATTTGAAACTTTTGGCACAAAATTAAATCCATAGATGTTTTTTCATTGTGATCTCTTGTCAGGGAGAGCTGTCCTTTGAACAGGACTGCCTAGTAGAGGGGGGAAGACTAGGGCCCATGACCAACGGCACAGAGTACAGAGAAGTGCGTCAGTTCCGCACAGACCATCACCTGGTCCGGTTCTACTTCATCACACGGGTCTTCTCCCGCTACATGGAGAGCATCCTTGCTGACTTCAAACATGAGCTGAAACCAGATGTGGTCATAGTCAACTCCTGTCTTTGGGATGTGTCAAGGTAATGGAATAAAGCATGTAAACGTAAACCAACCTTTAAAAAATGGTTCTTCATGGCTTCTTTAAAACAAATGTTTTTTTTCGTGGTCAAATGGTTCTTCTGTATGTTGGAAAAAAAAGTTGTATATGGTTTTAAAAAATAGTTCTATAGAGCACTGAAAAGGGTTCTGCTATTGTTACAAGTGAGAGGACGCTTTTTGGTACTGTATAAAAACATTTTTGCTAAGAGTGGCATAAGGACAAGATCTACTGCCCCTGTAAAGAAGACAAAATGCGTCTTAGTTACTTTTGTTGTTGTTCTACAGCCGGTGGTTCTACCTTGTATTTACGCTCATTGACAATTTCATAAGATTCACTTACAATGTAGGTGCATTTTGTACATCTACAGTTACAGATTGTGGTCCATCTGTTTCTCTGCATACTTTGTTATTGTGTCCCACCTTTATTCCATTCATCAGTGCTTAAGACTTATGCAGGACTACCACAGAGCAGATCATTCTCACCACAGAGCAGGTATCATTTGTGTGGTGGGTCATTCTCAGCACTGCAGTGACACTGATACGGTGGTGGTATGTTAGTGTGTGTTGCGCTGGTCTGAGTGGATCAGACACAGCAGTGTTGCTGGAGTTTTTAAACACTTCAGTGTCAATGCTGGAGTGAGAATAGTCCACCAACCAACACACAGCGTCATCCAATGAACAGCGTCCTGTGAGCAGCATCCTGTAACCACTGATGAAGGACTAGAGGATGACCAACGCAAACTGTGCAGCAACAGATGAGCTGTTGTCTCTGACTTTACATCTACAAGGTGGACTAATAATTTAAAAACTCCAGCAGCACTGCTGTGTCTGACCCACTCAGACCAGCGTAACACACACTAACACACCACCACCATGTCACTGAAGTGCTGAGAATGATCCACCACCTGAATAGTACCTGCTCTGTGGTGGTCCTGTAGGGGTCCTGATGTAAAGGTGGGATAACCGCACAAGTTATGCAGAGAAACAGATGAACTACAGTCTGTAATTGTAGAACTACGAACTGCACCTATATGGTAAGTGGAGTTGACAAATTGATCATAGATACATAAATAAGGTAGGTGTGCCCAATAAAGTGAGTGTATGTGGCATTGATATAAAAGTTTGAATATCAGGGGTGCGTTATGTCCTGGATAGCCTGGAAGTTCCTAGACTAGGTTTCCAGTTAAACACATGGAAAATAACACAATTTATAAAATACCGTGGAAATATTTGTGAAGTCCTGGAAAAGTGTAATTTAGGTCATGAGGCCACAGACATTTCATATTTGTGCATATTTTTATTGCATATTTTAGCAATGAATGCCCCAGTTTGAGTGTCCATTCGTACTTCTTGTTTGCAATAATACAGTGGACAGATACGGGGAAGATGTGTTGGAACGCCTGGTAAAGAGGGATTACATTAACATATGCCAGCGTCTTGCAGCATGTGTGACAGTTGCAGTTCACTTCTAACATTTAAGTAGAACTTGTGTTCAGATGCTGATTGTTTGAGGAATGCTTTGTGCGAGTGTGTAACACTACGTCAGTAAGGTTTTGTTAGGGGTTTTATTTTTTACTTGACATTTTAAGGGCAATCTTTTGTGAGCAAAAGCTGTCGTGTTTATAAGTAATGAAAATTGTCTTGGAAAATTATTTCGTATAAAGAGTGGGAACCCTGATGATCATCCTTACATTCTGTGCATTTTCTTCTATTCTGGTGTTCAGGTACAACCGAAAGTGGGTCTCTGAGTACAAGGAGAACCTGCACAAGTTCTTTGCACAGCTGAAGGCCATTCTGCCAGAGAAAAGCCTGGTGATGTGGAACATGACCATGCCTTTGGGCAAGAAGATCATAGGAGGCTTTCTTGTTCCAGAAGTGGGTCCCTCCTGTTTAACCTGGGCAAAGATGTACTTGCGCAAGGGACATCAATTCTGATATTGGGGTCCAGCATAGTTTGGCGAATGCCCTGCAGAAAAGCACCTGCTTTGTTAGTTACATAGTTGGTTTAGTACGTATATTTGAGAAGGAAAATCACCAAACTGTGCTGGACCCCAGCTGGACAGGGCCTCTGCTTCTCTGCTTCTGTTTTATAGTTACTAAGTGAATTTTTAATCAATTCAGATTGAGTACATGGGCCCAATGCTACGTTTTGATGTCATCGAGGCAAACTTCTACGGTGCTTTGCTGGCAAATGCTTACGGACTGGACGTTCTAGACTTGCACTTCACGTTCCGATTCAGCCTCCACCACCGCATGCAGGATGGGATTCACTGGAATGCTGTGGCGCATCGTCAGATTACGTGCCTGCTGCTGGCTCATGCTGCCCAGGCCTGGGGCGTAAAGCTGCTCAGCTACACTGCCACAGGTATGTTTAACAAAACTTCACCAACAGTCCAAGACCTATGGTTTCTTTTATAACCCTTCCCTGCATACGTGTGTAAGTATCGGATGTTAAAAGTTGCCACAGATTCATTAGCATTAGATGTGCATTTCAGGCTTTGATCCAATCTGAAGCTGAAATACTAATTTTACATGTATTTAGCACATGAATTACTAAAGTAGTTGGAAACGTTGCAGAAGTTACTCTTGATCTGGTGGAAAAATACAAGACAGTGCTTAGCATGTCAGTATTTCATATGTTCCTCGTGAGGGAATGCAGCGGCAACACATTCATCTGCATCATATTATCCAGCCTGCCAACTCAGGTAATCACAGATTGTGAAAAGTTTCTGAATTGCAAGAAGTAGTTTGCTTTCGTTAGCAATTTTCAACAATAATCTCGTCTTGCAGACCAGAATAACATGTAGTTGCTAGATTATGCTCAGACTTCATATCAAAGTGACTACAGACCATCATGCTCCTGGGCTGATTCTGGCTTTTATGGAGGTAAAGAGCTCACTGTATGGTTTCTGTTGTTATTTTATATTTGGGCTACTGTTCACTGTTAATGAAGTTGGTCTTCACTGAACATTTTTGCTAAACCTTTGACCTGAGTCTGCTTGATTCTGATGTGATTTTGATGCAAAGCCTATAGAGCCCTAGTTAGATAATAACGCAGTTACCCTAAATGTGAGTGGTTTCAGACACACAAGCAGTATACTGTCTTATCTATTAATCAGTTCAGTCTTTTTTTCAGCAGAGCCATATAATGGCAGGAGGTATAGTAGCCTTCACATGGAGTCGAATGCCTTCAGTTACACAGGTTACAATCATTTTGCTAAAGCTGGTATGTCAAATTTTATCAAAATATATATATTTAAAGCATAATTTGAATAAGCCTTAGTCTTTGGAGGATGTAAAATTTACATCCACTAGTATTTGCTAAGCACTTTTAGAATATATTTTCTTAGGTCCAGCCTGGCAACAAGGACAGCAGTATGATGGCTATGGGCCTGATTTCTATGAAGATGGAATAACTACACTTCCTCAGTTCAATGCTGGATACTTCAATTTTAGGAACATTGAGCAAAACAACACAGCTTACAATGGTAAGTGGCATATTTATAGCATCTACCATCACTAAACTTGTATTATACCTTATCTGACTTTAAGGATGTTTATGGTAATGGACTGTGTGTTACATTCCCTAGGTTTGTCATATTAACTTATGTTTTGTCTTTTCTGGGTTCAAGGTGACAGCTACAATGCCTTGCATTCATCTACTGTAAGACCTGTTTCTGCTGCCCCCTCCTGTTCATCAAACAACTTTGTAATTAAGCAAAAGCACACAAAGTGGCAGTACAACCCGTACACTTGCCAGAAACCACACCGTCCCTGGAAATACTGAAAACAAACATTTGTGTAGGGGTGAAACACAGTGGGTTTGATTTCATCTCACTAAACCTTCAGAAAAAATGTATGTGCCTTATTTGTCTTTTTAAGAGTTATGTTAAGCGTGTTATTTTGTTGCCATTGACATTCTTAATCATACCAGGCTTTTATTGGTGTTATTTTATTCAGACACCATCATTTGTATTGTCTATAATTCCATGATATTTGGCCACCGAGCTTCTTGATGTCGCTGTTGTCTATTTTAATCATGGCACTTACGCAAGTTACAATAAAGACTTATCTGTACAATCTTGGCAGTCCAGCTGTAATCAATTTACATATGTTTCAGCAGTGGTTTAAAAAGAATCTCATACTTTAGACAGACCGTTCATTCTTTCTACAATTCTATGTCAGTTCTACAATTACTGTGACTTCCCAATTACCATATAGACTTTCAGAGACTGCCTGGGTCATATTTTAGATCTACTTAAACAAGTGTCAAAATAGTAAGACTCTTCAACAGTCATGTAACCCTAATAAAGAAATGTAATGAAAGAAACCAAAATGACAACAAACTTTGAAGTGACATACAAAAATATTGAAAGTGTCAGAGTTGAGCTATATGAGGGGATATTTGACAGCAGAAATAATTGACCCCTTTCATCTCCCCAAATTCCTGCACCCCTACATCAGTTGTCACTTTGACTTTCCCTCTCCATCCAAAGCAGCTTGGCAACAGGATTTTCACTGAAGAACTGCAGCAGGTTTTCTGAGGGTCTCAGCACCATCAGACATTGCCTGACAGTGAGACACTAAAATTGGTATGTTTATTTAGGGTGCATCGCCATCAGCCTTGCCACAATCGCCAGCATGTTTAGGTTAAACTCCAAATGTCTTGTAACATACATGAGCGCACATGCTGTATGTGTACAGGATAGTACATGGCAAGTTCAACGGCTATAGGGCATATACACCAATCAGGCATAACGTAATGACCACCTCCTTGTTTCTACACTCATTGTCCATTTTATCAGCTCCACTTACTATATAGGTGCACTTTGTAGTTCTACAATTACAGACTATAGTCCATCTGTTTCTCTGCATACTTTGTTAGCCCCCTTTTACCCTGTTCTTCAGTGGTCAGGACCCCCATGGACCCTCACAGAGCAGGTACTGTTTGGGTGGTGGATCATTCTCAGCACTGCTGTAACACTGACGTGGTGGTGGTGTGTTGTGCTAGTGTGAGTGGATCAGACACAGCAGTGCTGCTGGAGTTTTTAAGCACTGTGTCCACTCACTGTCCACTCCTACCTTGTTGGTCAGAGACAGCAGCTCATGTGTGTCAGCATAGTTTTTGTTGGTCATCCTCTAGTCCTTCATCAGTGGTCACAGGACGCTGCCCACAGGACGCTGTTGGCTGGATGTTTTTGGTTGGTGGACTATTCTCAGTCCAGCAGCGACACTGAGGTGTTTAAAAACTCTGGCAGCACTGCTGTGTCTGATCCACTCAGACCAGTGCAACACACAAACACACCACCACCACGTCAGTGTTACTGCAGTGCTGAGAATGATCCAGCACCCAAATAGTACCTGCTCTGTGAGGGTCCATGGGGGTCCTGACCACTGAAGAACAGGGTGAAAGGGGACTAACAAAGTATGCAGAGAAACAGATGGACTACAGTCTGTAATTGTAGAACTACAAAGTGCACCTATATAGTAAGTGGAGCTGATAAAACGGACAATGAACAACAAGGAGGTGGTCATAATTTTATGCCTGATCGGTATATTTATTATAGGTTATTTACTGTAGTAAAGCAGCAGTGTCCAAACGTTTATCACAGATGGCCAGATCAGACCATGACAAATACATGAGGGCTCCAAGCCCCAAGGCTTCATTCAGAGCAATTTGGAACAGTAAGTGCTTACAACACGTTGTTGATTTGTTTTTTTAGAGTAACAATAAAATGTGACTAATGTTTACTTTTTCAAAAAATATCATTTGTGGGATGATTTTGTTACAAATGTTCTTTACATATCAAATAAATGCAATAACAGCGTCCAGAAACCACTTTGTTAAAATGAGAAGAGCAGATTAAAATAGTACTGGCTACTGGGCCAATTACAACACACTTTTAAGCAGAAGCCACGGGCCACTTAAAATCTGTCCGCAGGCTGCATTTGGCCCTGGGGCCGGACTTTGGACATCCCTGTAGTAAAGTAACTATAGTGTGCATTTTAAATTCTACCTCTGCTTTCTGACCTACAGTTGCTGTTCATGCATATATCTGTATACACTTTCTGTGCACCTATTGTCTTTGTGCTTTTGCCTATTGACAACAGCACAAAAAATTAATGAATAAATTAATTAATGAAGAGTCAGTGGGTGAAAATAAATATGTATTTCAGGCATTTATTCCATTTTTCTGAGTGCGGTTCTGAGTTGTAAATTGAACTGCATTATGCCTGATTAGAGGTACACTCTTCTACAGAATAGCTGTTTGACCGCGCATATTTTTATAGATTATATCTGTCGATCTACTTTGTCAATATTCGCAGCATTAAAACTATTGGTAGGATAATTTGTCGGCCTAAATGACCCCATAAAACAATACTCCTAGTACTAAAACTATTAGGTTAGTAACAACTGACAGTCCACAGTTTTTCTCCGTTACAGCTTCTAAGACACCTAAACCAAGCCATCAGGCTGAAGACGCTGAGGGAAAGGCTGCCCCCTGGAGGTAGCAATCTAACGTTAGATACAACTTCGTGTCGTCGCAGATTTCAGTGATGAATCGGTCTCGGTCCACGTGAACGCTACTAATTTACAGGCCGGCAGGAGAATCGGTTCATGTAGCCTCCAGGCACCACGGCTAACTAACAACCAAATTATTTAAACATGGTGCGCCGTCAACATCAACAGTCACCAAGACATTAGCAGCCTGCGACGTTCTCAACCGAGGAGAAACGCCTTCTGACGCTCTTCTGAACTGGCGGTTTGAAAACACCAACAGAGCGGCGTGGAAATCCGGTTTTGACAGGCTATAGCACAGCATTAACGCCATTGAATCAACATAACTCACCAGTACCCTTTTTGATTTGGTTTGGTTCGGTTCAGTTATTTAGTTCTCTACTACTGTAGCAGGTACTTCACATTTATACAGCCTTGCTAGCTAGCTAATTAACCAGCTAGCATAAAAAGATGCGAGAGGCCGTAATGAGGAATGTGACTCCTTTTCAGGCTAGTCAGCTCCTCCACAATAAATTTGTTGTTGTACTTGGAGATTCAAGTAAGTATAAACAGCCAGTAGTTAACAATCGTAATGTTCCCATTTATGAAAGTAAGTTAGCTACCTATCTATATAACGGAGGTACTGTTGATGGCTGAAGTGTGCATCATTTGATTTCCCTTCTAGTTCAGCGGTCTGTGTACAAAGACTTGGTGTTACTTTTACAGAGAGATACTCATCTGACGTTGTCCCAGCTAAAAAGCAAGGTATGCCGTTCAACTCATGTATTAGCAAACTCTATATTGGGATTTGTAAAAGTATACAGACCCAGTAACTTGACACATTTCGGAACGTAAAGGGTTTGGCCCTGGCAGTTTCTGAGACCTTTTAGTTGTTTTTCTACGGTAGGCAAAAACTGTTTATATTTTGCAGTCAAATAAAAATGGATTGTGATATTCAGATTCATTTAACTTTATTACAGTTACTGAAGCAATGTTTTGAACAGACCTTGTAGTCCTACTAGAGAGTTACCTGTTAGTCACCTGGTGAGCAGACTCTTGCTTTGCAAAGATATACAAACTATGATAAAATTAGGTCAGCGCATAGGGGTGATAACTGTCCTGGGGCAGGAGTGATGGTATGACTGCTTGGGCTTCTGCTTTAAGTTAAAAGGCTGGATATTTTTTCGTTGTGATCTCTTGTCAGGGAGAGCTGTCCTTTGAACAGGACTGCCTAGTAGAGGGGGGAAGACTAGGGCCCATGACCAACGGCACAGAGTACAGAGAAGTGCGTCAGTACCGCACAGACCATCACCTGGTCCGGTTCTACTTCATCACACGGGTCTTCTCCCGCTACATGGAGAGCATCCTTGCTGACTTCAAACATGAGCTGAAACCAGATGTGGTCATAGTCAACTCCTGTCTTTGGGATGTGTCAAGGTAACGGAATAAAGCATGTACACCTATATGTAATGCTGCCAAAGGACAAGAACCACTGCTCCTGTAAAGAAGATAAAATGCTTCTTACTTACTTTTGTTCTTGTTCCATGTGACTTCTAGATGTAAATGTCTGATCATCACTGCATTATGTATGTATTGAACTTATCTTCCGTTCTGGTGTTCAGATATAGCCGAAAGTGGGTCTCTGAGTACAAGGAGAACCTGCACAAGTTCTTTGCACAGTTGAAGGCCGTTCTGCCAAGGGAAAGCCTGGTGATGTGGAACATGACCATGCCTCTTGGCAAGAAGATCATAGGAGGCTTTCTTGTACCAGAGGCAGGTCCCTTCTGTTTAACTTTGTCACAAAAGTCCTTAAGCAGAGGTCATCAGTTCTGGTTTTGGACGTTCAGAGTCCAGCACAGTTTGATAGAAAAACATGGAGCATGGACTTACAGTGGTTCTGCCCTTGATCTAAAGTTACCTTTGGATAGTCCCTTAGTCAGACGACTGACAATTCTATGATTAGTAAGATAATAATTGTATTTTCTTATCTTTCAATTCAGATTGAGTATGTGGGCCCAACACTACGTTTTGATGTAATCGAGGCAAACTTCTACGGTGCTATGCTGGCAAATGCTTACGGACTGGACGTTCTAGACTTGCACTTCACGTTCCGATTCAGCCTCCAACATCGCATGAAGGATGGGGTTCACTGGAATGCCATAGCACATCGTCAAATCACGTGCCTGCTGCTGGCCCATGCTGCTCAGGCCTGGGGCGTAGAGCTGCCCAGCCACACTGCCAAAGGTATGTTAAACAAAACTTTATATTTTTAAAAACCTTTTCTAAGT